CATATTGAAATAAAATTTAATATTAAATATTCATAAGTTTGAATAGCTTATTTTAAGTTGTTAGATACTTTAAATATTCTTTATACTCACAGACTAATAAAATAAAATTAAATAGTAAATATTTATAAACTCAAATAGTTATTTTAAATACTTAATGTTCTTTATATATACTCATGTGCTAAATTAATATAAACCAACTAAATAGTAAATAATAGAAAAAAATTAAGTGATCAATATGTCATTGAATGCATATTATTCAAAGATTAAATATAAGAGAACTTCATCTATATTCTATTAAGTAATTATAAAAAGCACAAAGATGATAAAATGCTCTTATTGTGAGATAATGTAATAACCAATTAACAATACAGATAATGCATCTAGAGAATGTGAATATGCAATTGAACAAAACCAGAATTGTTGAAAAATCCTGATTGCAATAAGGATAATCTTAAAATAGAAGATATTGATTAAAAGGTTGATAATAAGATATTATCCTAGATGTTAAATCATTAAAGGTTGCGATCAAATAATTGTTATGTATTACAAAAATTACTATTTTTTTGAGAATTTGAAATTTCTCACCAATTGGTAATTTAATATAAAAAATATGTTACTTAATTCGTAAGCATATATAACTCAAATTGTACCAAGATTAATGAATAAAAATTAATAAAAAAAATTTTTTTTCTTAACACAATTTATTACATAATAGCTATATAATAAATTTCATTTCTAATATATTGGTTATTTGAGAAATCATATAAAGTTAAAGTATATGTGAAATGACAGTGGTATACAAGTGAACCTTTGATAAATTATCTATAAGACATATTGGGTAAACTTAGTGCCAACACGTGTTTTCAGCTATTTGTATTTTATAAACTGAGCAATGAAGAATTGAATCAAATGAGCATTCTTACAACCAATTAACCCAAACAAATAAAAATACTAAACTATTATTATATTTATGTATAAATATCCCTTTTAATATAGCATATGATATACCATTTTCTTCTTGAATTTGCATCATGTTATCAGAGTACAAATTCATATATATATTAAATGTCTCATCATCATTTAACAAAGTATAACCTATTTGTTTGTAGAATTCTACATGTCTATATATCAAAGCAGCTCTTCTTTGTATATAAATTTTATATGCACTTATAAGGTCATAAGTAAACTGATGATTGATATCAAGTTTTCTGAGTAAAGAAAGTTTGTAAACTTCACCTTTAAGACAAATATTTTTGTGCTTTGATATTTTTTATTTTATCATCATATAACATGATATTTAAAGTATCTAACAACTTAAAATAAGCTATTCAAACTTATGAATATTTAATATTAAATTTTATTTCAATATG